GAGGGAGGGAAGGAAGGGGAAGGGGGAGCAGGGCAGACGGACACACTTAAGGGAAGGAAAGAAAAGAATTGGACTTCTCTTTTCATATTGAATTTTAATGAGAGTAATATATAATTTAAATTTTCTATTAACTGCTTGTGTTTTTACGGTCCTGTACAGCCAAGAAAAATTTCCGTGTGGGATAATAAAGCATTATTTTTATCTTTTTTTCTTTTTTTTTCAAGCCAGGCCTCTTCTAGCCCTACAAGCTCCCCGCTTGGTAGATCTACCCCGACCCCTGAGTCCTCTCCCACACCGAGCCTACCCCAAGATGTGGCGTCGTCATTTCACCGAGTGCCCGGGGAGAACATCTGGGTCTACTCTGTCTTCTACGAACCCTTCAAGGCGGAGCTCGGGGGTCCGGGGGTCAGAGGGATCGGCCTGGCGCCGGTGAAGAACGAGGCTAGTGTATATTGTCACGTGACTTTTGTCGACGGATCCAGGACAATCGTCCGCAGCAACATCGTGCGTTCTAGAGACAGCCACGGCTTGAGGTGGGGGTCGTTGTCCTTGTCGCAATCATCATCATCATCATCATCATCATCATCATCATCATCATCATCATCATCATCATCATCATCATCATCACAGACACACACATACATACACACACAGACACACACAAACACATACACACGTGCACACACACATACACACATTAATTGTAACAAAATATGTGTGTGTGTGTGTTTATGTGTGTGTGTGTTTATGTGTGTGTGTTTGTGTGTTTGTGCACTAGTGCGTGTGTGTGTATGTGTGTCTGTGAGTGTATATGTGTGTGTCCGTGTGTATGTGTGTGTCTGTGTGTATGTGTGTGTCCGTGTGTTTGTGTGTTTGTGTGTCTGTGTGTGTGTCTGTGTGAGTGTGTTTGTATGTGTGTGTGTGTGTGTGTGTGTGTGTGTGTGTGTGTGTACGTTAGTGTGTGTGTATGTATGTAAGTGAGTGAGTGTGTGTGTGTGTGTGTATGTGTATGCGTGTGTATGTGTGTCTGTGAGTGTGTTTGTGAGTGTGTGTGTGTGTCTCTGTCTGTGTGTGCACTCGCGTACGCGTGTGTGTATGTGTGTATGAGCGTGTTTGTATGTGTATGTATGTGTGTGTGTGTCTGACTGCGTGTGCACTCGTGTGTGTGTGTGTGTGTGTGTGTGTGTGTGTGTGTGTGTGT